AACTTCACACACACAAGGTACATCATGTCACAAATATGTATGTGCATTTGTTTCATGATCTCATTAACGATAGCCAAATGGGGGCCGCTTTAAGGCCGAAAATGCATTGAAATCGCACATTTTCACCATTCCGGACCCGTATCTCAGTTATGCATGGATGGATTTTGTTCAAATTTGGTACATACATTAAACATAATAGGACTTTGATGCACGTCTTTTTTTTTTCGGATCAAGTTCGAAATGGCCGACTGGCGGCCATTTTGTTAAAGAATTCAGTTCTGGATCCGTATCCAAGACATGTCTGGATTGATCAAGTTCAAACTTCACACACACATGGTACATCATGTCAAAAATAGATATGTGCATTTGTTTCATGATCTGCTTAACAATAGCGGAATGATGGCCATTTTAAGGCCGAAAATGCATCAAAATCACGTATTTTCACAATTCCAGACTGAGATCCGGATCTCAGTCATGCATGGATGGATTTTGTTCAGATTTAGCACAATGTGTTGTACATATGCAGGTGCATTTCGGTCATGATCTGCTTTGAATGTATATGTCACTCAAATATGAACGGAACAGGGACGTGTCATTGACAATGACTTGTGTTTTAATAAATGGGCTTCTAGACCCATATCTCTGACTTGCTTTGATTGATTATGTTCAAATTTTTTTATATTCATTATACATCATGTCATAGATATACAGATATATTGGTTTTACGATTCTATTCAAAATGGCCAAATGGTAACCATTTTTGTGCTAAAAGAATCATCAAATATCAAGCATTTCTGGCATTTATGGATGGATTTCATTCAAACTTGATACATACATTAGACATTACGGGTTTCTGATGCACGTCGTTTTATTTTTCAGATCCTATTCAAAATGGCTGACTGGCAGCTATTTTGTTTTAATGATTGGGCTTCTAGAGCCATATCTCTGACATGCTTTGACTGATTATGTTCAAATTTGATATTTGTTATACATCATGTTATAGATGTTATAGATGTATACATGTATTCAAAATGGCTGATTTTTAATGCTGTTCCATATCTCCCAATATGGACAAGTCCTTGTTTGACCATCAGATACAAATGTCAATCATTTTAATGTTAAACAATCATCATATTCATATTCCTGACATGGTTATATTCCAGCTATATTACTATAAACAAAACTATATATCTTAAATTTGATAACTACGGGGACCGTGCCATGCATGGCTTGTTTTTACTATTGTTAGGGCACTGACCCGGGGTATTGGGTCTGTGAATATTTCAATATAACCGACTTGATAATGTGTTGCATTCATAATAATTATGCAAACATAAAAATTGACGCATTTAAATCTCTGAAAAAAATAGTACATGTAGTCAGGTGTTTACCGAAAGTCAAGAAAATATTTTTAATATTTGTGATTTGATGTTCCCATGGTGAATTATTTTATTTGACATGAAGTGAATATATAATATAAACCATACAATAACTTACCATGCGTAATGTTCAATTTTACTATAATATAATAGACTCGATCACATTATTCATGTGTTTGAATTATGTGCGGCAATGGGCAATGACCTCCAGAGTTCAGAGTTCGATTTTATACATCTAATTTCTGTTGAAACTGGACCAGCCAATTATTCACTCTCAATTACAAACTATGCTTTTGTAATAGCTTATTACTTTATTTTTGGCATGAATAAAATTTCCCATAATTCCAATAGGGACTATGTCATTAACAGTGACTCGTGTTTTTTTTAGCTCCGCTGTCGACTTTGTCGAGCGGAGCTTATCATATGAGTGATTGTCCGTCGTCGTCCGTCGTCGTCGTCCGTCGTCGTCGTCCGTGTCAATGTTTTACTTTTTCGACTTCTTCTTGAAAACTACAAGCCTGAATGCTTTGATACTTGGTGTATATGTACCTTGGGTAGACCTCTCTCAGATTTGTTCATTTCATGATGATATCTTCAATTCTCTAATTTTGGTGAATATTTTTGTCATTTTTAGTAAAAAGTGATATTTTCGACTTCTTGTTGAAAACCGCAAGTGCAATTGCTTTGATATTACATATATAGGTACTACATTTGGACCTCTCTCAGATTTGTTCATTTTGTAATGATATCTTTAATTCTCTAATTTTGGTGAATATTTTTGTCATTTTTGGTAAAAAGTGATATTTTCGACTTCTTGTTGAAAACCGCAAGTCCAATTGCTTTGATATTTACATATATAGGTACTACATGTCGACCTCTCTCAGATTTGTTCATTTTGTAATGATATCTTCAATTCTCTAATTTTGGTGAATATTTTTGTAATTTTTGGTAAAAAGTGATATTTTCGACCTCTTGTTGAAAACCGCAAGTCCAATTGCTTTGATATATTATACATATAGGTACTACATGTGGACCTCTCTCAAATTTGTTCATTTTCTAATGATATCTTCTGTTCTTTAATTGCCATGTGCATTGCTAACAGCGGAGCTATCTCAGCCGACAGGCTGCTTGTTTTTAAATGAGGTTGTTTTAGACATCCTTTGGCATTTTTTAGTACATTATTCATGTTAGGACTAATGTCTTTGACAATTTGTTTCATAATCAGATCAAAAATGGCCAACTGGCAGCCATCTTGGTTTTTGAAAATGCATTATTAGTCCCCTTCAGACACAGTCCGAAAACTTCATTTGGTTTCACGATCTGATTCAAGATGGCCAAATAGCGGCCATTTTTTTTCTAAAAATCATCAAAATCAAACATTTCTCAGCTGTTTACAGATGGATTTTGTTCAAACTTGGTATATACGTTGGACATTATAGGACCTTGATGCACATCTTTTTTTTTCAGATAAGATTCAAAATGGCCGCCAGTCGGCCATTTTGTTTTAATGAATGTGGTTCTAGTGCCATATCTCTGACTTGCTGTGACTGATTATGTTCAAATTTTGAATATTCATTATACATGTATTCAAAATGGCTGATTTTGTTTTAATTAATGCTGTTCCAGAGCAATATGTCTCAATACTCGTTTGACGATCAGATACAAATGTCAATCATTTAAATGTTAAACAATCATCATAATCATATTTCTGACATGTTTATAATCCAGCTATATTATTATAAACAAAACTATATATCTTAAATTCGATAACTAACAGGGACTGTGTCATGCATGGCTTGTTTTTGTATAATTTATTCTATTGCATCACATGCATCATAATACACACACATGTTTATATTTTTTAAAAGTGGTATTTAATGTTCATAGTCAAAAAATAAAAATTCCTCCTGAAATACATATAAGCTCCTACAACAGATTACGACTATGAGTGTGATTTTAGCTGACACACCACAAGTTGGGTATTCTATTTTGTATGTTAGTCACCTGATACATGTTCATAATTTGACTTATGATTCATAAAGTGCCTTAATTTCCCGTCATAATTTGCATATCTAATTTTATTGCATATATTATGCATGTAGCAATACATGTCTATAACAGTTTAAATTGTGTTTAAATAAAAAACGACAGACTTGCAGCCATCTTGCTTTTTGGCCATGATACTTTATCTTAGGAATGAATAATTTTATTGCGATGGAGACTGTGTCATTAACAATGACTTGTTCATTTTATTGCAGGCTACAAAGTTCCTGGAGTTGTTCTTTGACAAGTTAATGCCACATTGCCAGGGTCAAATAACATATACACACTGAGTGCACATTGATGGACATTGCATCATTCTAGAACAATTGTCTTCCATTGAACATTAATTTGCTCACTATATATAGCTGTATATTTGCTGATTTTAATATTTCTCAACAATGAAAACAGTACATCACATCAGTACATTATTTATAGAATTTTTTGAGGACACTTAAGTTCCCTTCCATTTGCAACTATTTCAGAGGATTGCTTAATGTGCAATAATGAAGTTGAAATGTACATTTTGTTATTTGTTGTATATATTTACATTTCCAAATTAATTTTACATAATTAATTAATTAGCTTTGCTAACAAGTTAAGCATGCAGTATTTGACAGCTCAATGATTTCAATGTTTTTATGTGTATGTACATTTAACAGTTGACTATAGAGAGAAGACCTCTTACTTTGTTGTAATTCACCAGAACAGTTCAAAATGATAAAAACATTTATTGTATAAATCTGACATAAATGTACTGTATTGTGAGTATCCCAGATTTAAAATAGATATGAAAGGTTATCAAATCAAAGAAATCAATTTAACCAGTTCACCCTCTCAATTTAGTAAAAAAAAACTGTCCCAATGAAACTAAATTCTAAGTGTATGTGACTATGGTACAGTACATAGATCATTGCTGACCTAGTTCACACAATATGTTACAGGCTGTTGTATTTATACATGAATGTACAAACCTTGTTATTATAATTGTGCCAATCTGCCTCTCTATAATCTGGTAATCTTGTGTGCTGGTTTAATTAGTTCAGCCATGCATCTACAGGAATAGCTATTACTGTATGTTATTACCTCAAAACTTATCATAGAATTATTTTCACACACCGAATCTGCATCCTTATTTAACACTGTAAAATAAACCTTGGTTCAGGATGACCAAATAATTTGAGATATTTCACATTTAGTATTTGTATGAATTCCTTGTAATTACAAATGTATTCATTCTTGTATTATATTATTGTACAGGTTGATTTTTATAATTTTAAATATTAAAATTTGGAAATAAATTTGTTTGTGTATGTGAATATATAAGCATGTTAGATTGGTGAAGTTAGTAAAGGAATTTTATTTTAATTTTTAATTAAGGTTAATTTACATAAAACATAAGGTTAATTTACATAAAACAAAAGGTCACTTGTATGATATGTTGTTTGCTCATTATAAATTCCATACATACCACGTGACCTAGAACCTCCATTGGAATTCACAATACCCAGGCATTATCTGTTTTATCTGATGTGATTGAACCCAACTCTTGCCAACTTGTTAAACAGTGATGAATTGTCTGGTGCAAGACGATCTACTGGTTTGCCATTACATGCACACTTATTATTTGCTTCAATGCCAATAGATGTTAACAGTAAAGTATATATACTAGTATACATCTAAAATAATACATGTTACTTTCTGATGTACGTAGTCACTGTTCTTATAATTCTAAATATTTTGTCTTTTGTTTGTGAAAAATTTGTTCAACTTTGTTATATATGCGGATATCGTAGTATAATGCTTTATACACTTCATTATCATTAATGAGTTGTTTCCTTAATTCATCTACCATGTCCGTCTTAGTAACTGTAGAATTGTAACGCGTGTTCTCATTGTGTTTACTACTGGGATCACACAGGGTAGCGAACGGTAGCTTGACAGCTTCCTGTAGTAGAGTCAGTGTCATGCTGTATTCATTTAACAAACCAACAACCGTAAACCAGTCTTCTAAATGTTCGAGTACATATTGCAACATTGCTTCATGTTCTGATGACGTCATATAATAATCTAGGTATAATTTGTGTTTATACCAACATTGCATTTCAGCCATGTTTAATTGTGTAGTTGTAGATATAAGTTCACCTCTCACAGTCCTGGCATATGGTAATCCAAGTGCTGCCTTTCTGATATAGTGCTCATAATTTGTAGTACACAGCAAAACATTGTTAAATAATTGTCTAAAGACATAACTTCCAACGTGTATGGCCCACTGTTTAACAGTCACCTCCTTGGCATTCATATGCAAACATATATGGTCTTTGGTATTACGTGTACGGCAGTGTTCGTAATGGGAAATAATCCGATCGTACGGTTCTCTCAGCACAAGAAAATAAGCAAACGACAAATTACTAATATCAGCCAACCCAAATGAAAAGCCACCGAGTACAAGTGGTGGAAAAGGTTTTTCAAGAGTTCGATATTTCATGTATTTTTCTGGTATGTCCTTATAGGTAAATGTTGCCATAGTTAAAGACATATTCTTTTTTATTTTCCTCATACAACCCTTCATTGTACCACTGGCTATTTTGGGTACCTGCATGTAATCCACTGTGTGTATGTGCAGTGGCTTCCCGTGTCCTGTGTAGTAATTGTGCAAGGTATTGTTTCGTTTCATCCAGGGACATTTTAAAAGTAATCCAGGTAGTATATTATCGTGACTGCAAGACAAAATATTATAAACTTGTAAATAAATATAAGAGCAAAAAGTATTTGCAAAGTATTTCAGAAAGCCATGAGCAATTATTATGATTTATAAAACGTTTGCCGCGAAGAACCCTCGCGCTACATTCAAATCAGCAAAAAGTTTCCATTGGCTAGAAGATTCTTTTGTAATAACAATTATTGTCATTGCTTCTGCCCATTTATGCGAAACATAAATTATTGAACAAATTCATTTTCAGATAGCAAGAACAATGTTTTGATGGGTCAAACGTCACATTGACTTGCATACCGGCAGTATTTATGGCATAGTGATCGATCAAGTAGTTTTCAACCTTGAAATTTATAAAACATTTATTAATATTTATATAGAAACGACATTCGCGGCTTTATGAAATGCATTATATTCATTGTCAAGTAAATAAACCACATATAGTCTATCACTAATTTAAATAACATGTTCTGGCATAAGTGGAGTTTAGTCAACATATTCGTAAACGAGTAAACATTTAAACTGTACCTGCTGTTCATTATCAGCCGATGCTTTGATCTGTTATCACGTGACTCTTTGTTGTGCCATTCTATGAGAGTAATAGTGCAAATCATGCTACAAACAATGAGAGCATATACACAACATCGAATACATTGCATCATTCTTGTCTTTATGTGCAGTCCCTTTGAATAAAATAAATCCATATATTATATTGTGTCTATGAAGCAGTGTGCCCGGCGTCAAAGTCAGGTCTGGACAAGTGTGAAGCACATCGCTGACTGTCATGGAGCGTCATTAAAAATAATCAGAAGTCTGATTGCACAGCCCATTTGCTAATTGTGATGAAACAACGCACACAAGTTAGTAAATACCAACCAAAATGTCCACCTTCAAATTTATTTCAGCGAAAACGTCATATTTGGGCGAAATTGTCAAATACAGTCAGTCTAAATCTTGCGTTCCAATATTACAATCTGCGTTTTTTTTTTATTGCTAGGACATAGAAAGAACAAAAAATCAGCAAAAATATGTGCTTTTAAGGTTCCAGGAGAAACTCTATAAATCTAAAAAACGAAAACACGGTCACACAAATAATGTATCTACGAGTACTTAACATGTCCTCAATAAATTATGTAAGAAGTTGAATATATTAAAAAGTATTGTCATCTTGAGTGGTTTCAAAGATAAAAAGGTGGCCATAAAAAGTCTGTAAAGGACCCCCTCCCAGAAATGTAGTTTTGCTTAGCTTTGTTCTGCTTATTTTTTTAATTAACATCATTGTAATATATTTCTTGAGAATGTGTGAACTACTATCTTATTTTCAAACTTCTGTTGTTGTTTTTTTGTAATACTTTACAGATTTTTCGGGAAGGCACATCGATTGTGCACCTGCTGTGTCTTTAGAAGATCTACAGCTTGGGATGTCCATTGGTCTTACTCACCTAGAGCTTATTCACGTCAATTTCCACAACAGCAATATGCCTGTCAAAGTCAGGCCTAGCTAAGCAATTAGTCTCCTTGTTATTTGAATGACACTGAGTTCAATATGGGTTAATAATTTATGAGAATGAACATGCCTGTTTTAAACTTAGTATTGAAACTAACTGTTTTCTATTAGTCGACCTACAATGCTGTTATAAATTATTCATCAATCTAAATAATTGTAAACTCAAACGTAAGTTACCATCGACACAACAAACTAATTTCCTGCATGTTTAACTTATCTGTGACATCGTTATTGATCTCGGCCTAGTTCGAATTTGATATATGGTATATGTATATTTTTCAAGATATTTATTAAATCTCACTTCAAATTTCTTTTTTTGAGTGGTTACAATAACTCAACCAATTTTTATCTTCAAATTTAGGAACTTATTAATCGTTTGTTTAATTTTGATGTAACTAGCAAATGTAATAGTATGTTTAGAATGTTTTTCAAGATTTGTCAAGTAGATATAAATAAAAAATGAAACAAATATAGTGTACTTTTCTCGCTCTTTTCAAAACTGGCTAGTATTTATTTAGCTTATATATATATATATATTATATATTATTGCACACTTATCTTATGTACAACTCATGTTCTATTACTCGTATTCAATATAGGGCATTGGGATTAATAGAGTATATGTAGTATTATTTGTGGAATACATTGGTTAGTATTTTGCTGCGCTCGTTTATTAGCTTGTTTGGATTGTTGTGTTAATGGTGCATGAGTATATTCACCTTCATTTAAACAATAATATGTAATTGTGAGTGTCTGTACACCTATCACGATGACAGCAGGCACAGGTTGAATATCAAGGGCAAATATAATATATATATCATTTAATCAACACTATCATTTGTATGTAACAATTGTTTGCAGCTATCATATTAATGAACACATCATACAAATTGCACGTACGAGTCCAATGCCGCAGCGAGTAACAACAGTCATGTTAATTAATCGGTTTAATTATATTTCGACTTATACATGGTGAAATCTATGCAGTATAAACATATATACTACGGTATAGTATACAATAGAATATAATAGAATTGCTACTATACCTGCTATGTTGACGTGTAAGACTGTAATATACACTGTATTGTAGATAGCGTGACGTACTTATTATGGTAATGTACGTACACGTTGTGACGTATTAGGTTGGAGGCATTTGTAGCTACCGTCAATGTTGTTGTTTGTTTTCGATTGACGAGGTCATACATAACTGTAGCATAGACAAGTTTCACATTTATGAAAATAGAAAGTGTACAACATTCAGGTATGTACACACTGAACGGTTATTAGTGAACCATGTGAACTGTAAAACGAATAACGAGACAACGTACACACATGTGTTACGACCTGCTTTGTGTGTATTAATATCCCCAGGAGAAGATAAAAAATTATCATACAATATAATAGCAGCAAATAAATGAAAACACGGATTTAAACAAAAATCTATAAGAAAGTGGATGTCTCTGTCTGATATTAAGGACGACCTTTGAACTATTGGATCATACGTACGTCTGCTGCTCACTATCACTACTGAGCACAATTGTTTATGTTTTCCTCTTCGTTGAATAAGTGCAGTCTATGTTCCCTGTATGCTGGGCAACTTATAACAAAGAATTTATTCGAACAAATTTATCACACGTTCTAGTATTTTTTATTTACAGTATGGACATCATTGATTAAAATATTTGATGATTTACTGAATCTATTAAATGAATTACTGAATCTATTAAATGAATTACTGAATCTATTAAATGATTTACTGAATCTATTAAAAGAATTACTGAATCTATTAAATGATTTACTGAATCTATTAAATGATTTACTGAATCTATTAAATGAATTACTGAATCTATTAAATGAATTACTGAATCTATTAAATGATTTACTGAATCTATTAAATGATTTACTGAATCTATTAAATGAATTACTGAATCTATTAAATGATTTACTGAATCTATTAAATGAATTACTGAATCTATTAAATGATTTACTGAAATGTTTTAATGAATATGTCAAATGAGTATCTCACCTTGTTCACCGCACATGATATGTGTTTAGAAGATACAAAGTAAAAATCTGTAGAATGATACAGTCGCTCCCCCAAATTGCTCACACAACGTCACACCGAATATACCCTGGGCACCCAGCAAACCTGGTGAATGGACACTCGGGTATAGCATAGCATCGCTCACACAACGCCACAGCGAATATACCCTGAGCACCCAGCAAACCTGGTGAATGGACACACGGGTATAGCATAGCATCGCTCACACAACGTCACACCGAATATACCCTGAGCACCCAGCAAACCTGGTGAATGGACACTCGGGTATAGCATAGCATCGCTCACACAACGCCACAGCGAATATACCCTGGGCACCCAGCAAACCTGGTGAATGGACACTCGGGTATAGCATAGCATCGCTCACACAACGTCACACCGAATATACCCTGGGCACCCAGCAAACCTGGTGAATGGACACTCGGGTATAGCATCGCTCACACAACGTCACAGCAATTAAACCCTGAGCACCCAGCAAACCTGGTGAATGGACACTCGGGTATAGCATTGCTCACACAACGTCACAGCGAATATACTATCAGGGGTAAATTCTCCTCTATGGGGATCTCCACACGTGTCAGGGGGGAATCTCGTATCGTCTCTATATCGCGTCCCTTTGAGGTATGGGATCGGGAAAGTCACTTAAGCTTTACAGTCAAATAAGACACACACAACGAAATACGTTTCAGCTCTTGTCTTAGTCGATCAGTCGAGCACTCTATAAGACACAGCGCCCTGGGGAAAAATCCCCAAGACTATCACAAGGCTGACCCAAGACTCTTTTAGACTGCGTCAAGGCTCGCCCCAAGTCTCTCCAGGACCGGACTCTCGACTGCGTCTATCGTGCTGTGCTCCCAAAGACCAACTCAAACTCTCTTTATTCATTTTCAAAACAAACAAATTTACTCCATTTAGGAATTCCTAACGGTTAGTCCGAACGCACGACACCGTTGGAGGC